AAATATATTTATAGTAAAATTCCATTTCTCCAAGTAGCCCTGATTCATCTTATTGGAAAATAGCATTAGAAACCAAGATATGAGTGCTGGGTATGTTGTTACTAGGATATTGTTTGTTTCTTCTGGACCCCCTTGGCTGACAGAGCAAGGAAATGTATGTGTGTATATTAACTAGCATATATAGACATATCTAAAATTATTTTTATATGTAACCATCTGAATATATTTAATCTAAGCATGGATTCCTCCTGATTCTCCAGCTATAACTCATTACTGTAATTATCATAATTCTAACCTCCTCCCCTTGCTTACCTATAAACTCCCACTCCAAAAGTGAGAAACCTGGCTCTCAGCATTCACCAGCTATTTGCTTAATTCAATTCCCATACACAGACACAGAACTATCAGAATTGTCAACATATAGGCCTGTGAGAAAAAGCTCTATCAACTAGAATACAGTGCTCCCAAGAGTACAGTATGATGTGGAAAAGAGAAAAAAGGAATGACTTGACAGGGGAGAAACCTGACAAATACTACCTCAACCAGGTGATCAGGGTCAACATCAACAGTGATAAGTCATGGGGATAGCACGTGTCTTTGATATAATGGGATGAGGAGGGCGCTTTACTTCTGTGGTCCTCCTCCCCAAAACCCATAATTCCAGTCTAATCATAGGAAAAATAACAGACAAATCCTAATTGAGGAACATTCTACAAAATACATGACCAGTACTACTTAAAACTTTCAAGTTCATCAAAAAACAAGGAAAATCTAAGAAATTGTCACAGCCAAGAAGAGCCTAAGGAAACATGATGACTGTATCCTGGATGGGATCCTGAAACAAAAAAAAGGGGGGAGGGACATTAGGTAAAAACTAAGGAAAGCTAAATGAAGTATGGATATTAGTCAATAATGATGTATCAATATGTGTTCATTAATCTTAACACATATGTAAGATTTTAATAGTGAAATAAGATGCAATAACCGTCTGTACTGTTTTCACAACTTTTCTGTAACCAAAACTATCCTTAAAAAATAGCTGACTTTTTTAAAATGAGTAAGAAAATATACACCAATTTCAAGATGATGGTTACCTCCAGGAGGCAAAGGAATGAGATCTGGAAGTTACACAGGGATTGCCCCAAGACGTTGTAACATTTAACCATATATTTAAGAATGGAAACCCTGGAACCAGGCTGTCTATGCTCAGTGTCACTGAGTAATGTGGACCACCTGTGCTACCCAAGTTCTGAGGAAGGAGAGAACAGTATGGTGTGGGAGGAGAATGGGGTTAAGGAGAACTTATGGGAAGTGACACTAGAGCTGGGTGGCTGCAAAAGAGAGAGGTAAGAAGGAGAGTTTGAGAGAAAGCCCAGGTGAGGCATTCAGCTGATACTGGGTGTGTGGTACCTGCACAGTGAGGCTCTTAAGGGCACCATGTGAGCAAGACCAAACCCTGGGCAAAAGTCCCCCACCCTAACCCCAAGAGCCTTCCCATGAGACTTCGTGTTTGGCTATTTATCAGAAAGCCCTTCACAGCTTCCTCTACCCAAAGCATCATGCACAGCCCCATAGTCCCATCAGCTTTTCCAGATTTGCTGCAGGAAGGCAATGAAGGGGGATGCTCAGGGATGCTCAGACTGAGAAAAGTAAAGAAATTGGCTTCTCATCCTTGGATGGGTCCTTGGCTCCTTAAATAAATGCAATCCAGCCCTGGCCAGAGAGATAGGAGGAAGGAAATCTGGACATGGGCACAGCCTTGCATGCAGTCTTTCTACCACATTCTTATTCTCCCTGTTACTGCCACAACATGGGCATGAACAGCTAAGCCGTGGTCCCTGACCAGCTGTCTGTGACATCCCACAGCTTCTCGGCCACTTTCCCTGCCTGCTGGGCCCTGAGCGCTATGCAAACGCTTAGTCTGAGCAAAGCAGAGGTAGAACGCAGGGCAGCTGATAAAGAAAGAGCTCACTACAAGTTCTGAAACCCAACTGAAATTATTTGGGGGAGAGAGAATCACAGAATCCAAGAATTAAAAGAATTCAAGAAAACATCAGCCATGGAAAACTCAGTGTCTCGAGTGAGAATTTCCTTCTAACCAACCAGACCATGATTCAGCAAGCCTTGGTAACAGACCCCAGTCACCTCTCAAGACAGCCCTCATGGATATTTTGGCAAAGAAATGGATAGCCTGACTCTAGTCATGAGAAAATATCAGACAAACCCAAAGGAACATTCCACAAAACCACTGGCCTGTGGTCTTTAAAATTGTTTGCATTATGAAAGATTAACAGCAACTAAAGATACTTGACAGCTAAAAGCAATATCCAATCCTGCATTGGATCCTGGACCAGGAAAAAAAAAATTAAGCATGTTATTTTGGGACAACTGGGGAAACTTGAGTATGAACTGTAGGGTACATAGTAGTATTTTATCAAAGTAAAATTTTCTGATGTTGATAATTGTACAATTTGACAATTAATAATTGTGATAATTACAGTTATATAAGAGAATGTCTTTATTCTTAGGAAATATATACTACAGTATTTAGAGATAATGGAGCAAAATGTCTCCAATTTACTCTCAAATGTGTCAGAAAAATAATAATTATGCATAGAGAGAGAATGTTAAAGCAAATGCGGCAAAATGTTAATTTGCAATTCGGAGTGAAGGGTAGTTAAAATTTCTTAGCATTATTGTTGTCACTTTTATGTAGTTTAAAATCATTTCAAAATAAAAAGTTAAACCTTTTTTTAAAGAAATAGCCCTAAAGGAAATGAATTGTTTTCTTTCTGTGGAACTGAACGTGATTTTCCTGCAGCAGTCGCTCTGTGCTCAGGTGTCATGCGGGCTACATTTATCCTTCCTTACGTGCCCTCAGATGTGTGAAGACAATCATTGTGTTCCTCTGCTCACCCTCAGCAACCCATCTGCAATTTCTCTCCTGTCCAAACTACATGCCCCAGTCCCTAGAATCCAGATTTCCTCTTCCTGAGAGGGTGGGCTTCACCATCCATGGAGAACCATTACTATGACCTCTGTAATTTTTCTCGCTTTCCTAATGGCAAAGAATCCTGGCAGCAAGCTGTCATGGGCTCATCTTAAGGGGTCTGGATTCCAAAATGCCAAACAGGAGACCAGGCCTCCCTGGCCATGTTCAGGTAATCAGAGTGCATAAGAAATTGGTGCTGGGAGGTAATTTCCTTGAGTACTCCACAGGGAATGCAGAGTTATGATTACCTAAGATGGTTTGGAAGTGTTGCAGCAGGAATGGCACCTTGCTAAATTTGGCAGCCCCGGGGGAAAATGAGACTTTTTAAATCAGGAAGTCTGCTTTGGCTAACGTCTCTATCCCCCGTCTGTCGTGCCATCCTCTGCCAGGAGTGAGGAGATGCCTGGAGCGGCAAATCTGCTTGCTGGCAGCTAGGGGGTGGGGGCGGGGGGGCCTGATGGGAGCTGAAAGGAGTGAAGACAGGACCAGGCCAGGGCCCCTGCAGCTATCATGACTCTGTTCCTGGCAGCCTTTTTCCACTCATAGCATCTGAGGGTTGGCAGGGGATGGAAGAAGGTCCCTGGTGCATCCATCCCTCTGCTTTCTGGCAGGGCATTCCTAACCTGACCTCAATGGACCTGACAAGGTAGAAGCAGGAAGGACTCTCTTTAGAGCAGTGGATTATGGACCACATATGATTTACAGGTCCATTTTATTTGGCCTGTACAGTTTTTAAATTTTTCTGAATTTGAATTAGGAGATATCATATTAAAAGAGAAAAGACCTCTGGCCAGTGACGAAATATCAAGAGCTCTGCAAGCCCATGTGGCTACAATCCCCTCATACTGAGCAACAGCAACCCTTTTTTTGCCACAATTCCACCACTCCTTATTGTCTCCCCAACTCTGGGGCTCTGGGGACTCAGCATTTATCCTCACCTTTGCACTGCTCTTTTCCTTATAGTAGATCCATTTTTCTCTATCCTTGCTCTACAAAAGTAGAGGACAAAAGATACCTAGAGGGCGTTTCAAGAAGAAATATTTTCCACATCTACTTACTTTGCTCAATTATGTTCCATTTCTGCCTCTCTAACCTAGAAAATTAACAAGTAGCAATTCTTGTTTCAGAATTGGATTCTTAGTGTTCCTTTGTGCCCATAATGGAAGTCCTTCCTTAGCATTCCCCTGCATCAGTCAAATGCAGATATACTGTTAATGATAAAATCCTTCCCAGATAAGAGATTATGACCCTGTTGATTTCTTGATAAATCCATTCTTAATTTTAAGCCACCCAAACAACCAATATCAAATGGTCTTATATCCTCTCCCCAACTCCCATAGCCCCTTCCTCCATGCCCTGGCCAGCCTCCAGCTCAGAGGAGAAGCTCTGTCCAGCTGTCCCCAGCACCCAAGTGGGTAGCCAGACCCAGGACGAGGGGCTGCTTTTGGGAGAGAGAGGCAGGAGGTGACGAGAGGGCAGAAGGAATCTCAAACAGGTGAGAGGATGCTAAGCCTGGGGAGCAGGAACAGGGGTCCCACACAGTGACCTCTGATGAAGTCTCCAAATGAGGTCACCCATTCAGTTACAGAGATATTCTGACAAGATGGAAGGAAGATGAGAACTCCCATCTTAGACCTGTGGGAACCACGCGGGGGTGCACAGTGAATTTAAGTTGCTTTTTGTTCTCTTAAATTTAAAAGTCCTGTGATTCAACTGTGAACAAGACAGTGTGTCCATGTGTGTGTGTTAAAAGACTTCGTTTATTCAATGTAGGCCTTTGTATGTCACAGATTTGGATATCCTGGCTTGGCATTTCTACTTTTTCTTGTACATACCAGTGGGCTCCAAAGACAGAAGTGCCCCAAGCCTCCCTTCTACTCTGGGAAGCCACAGGTCCCTGCCGACTCCCACGTGGGCAGCCACATTTGATGTGGTGTCACCCCCCACAGCCTGTCCTGGGGAAGACAGATGGGCACTGGGGGCTGATTGCTGCAGAGAGAAGCTCTACCTGTGCCAGAAATGCTAGCGTCCTGGTCCCGAGGAGGAGGAGGAAGGGTCCAAAGTCCTGGGGCTCAGCGGCTGTTGCCTGCTGCCTGTCAGCCTGAGTCTTCTTCCATCCACGGACCTCAGATTCAGCTTCCCTGTCCCACCTACCTGGAGCCCTCTTCTCCAACTGCCCCATTTAACTGTCGCTCCCACCACACCCGTGGAGGGAACTCTGGGGGACCAGCATTCCCTCTGCCACATTAAAGGGCACTGCCCCGTCCCACTCCTTCAGTGACAGCCCCAGTTCCCGCAGTGTGCTTGCACAGCCGCCCCTTCCTAGCCTGTCCCATCATAGCTTTGTATAAGTAAAGGAGAAAATGCCCCCCAGCAGCCGCCATTCTACAGGTGAGGAGCGTGAGGAATGAGAGGCCCTTCATGACTCGCTTGGGATAAGGCTGAGACCAGTAGCCAAGTCTCCTGACTCCCAGTCAGAGACCTCCCTCTCCATGCTCCTGCAAAGGTAAAGCAACTCTGAGGTCAAGGGGTGAGGTGTGTGTGTTGGGGCCAGGGGTTCTCCAATCTTCAAAACAGAGAAAAGCTCATTCATTTATCCAAAAATAAAAGGTAACCTGAGCTCTTTTTTTTTTTTCTTGAATTAAATGAAAGGTGAGGCAGGGCCTGGCTCTGACAGCGAATTCTTACATATAAAAGTTTCCCATTTACCTTTGCAAACTCCGGAGGGCAGAACTTTTCCAATGTCTTAAGATCCTTCAAGTGCCTGGCCACGGGGCCTTGCTCAGCGTTGGCTGAAGAATTCCAGAGTGGCCAGGGAATGGTTGGGAGTAGGCAAATATCTAAATTCGGAAATGACAAATCTGGATTCACTTTTAAGAATTATTTGGACACCTTGGAAGACCTTCCCCCCCACCTGACTCCCATGGATTTTATGTCACATTTTACTGGAATATTTCAAGCCTGCCCAAAGCCTCTTCCCACTTTTATCCTGGTCAATCCTTGTCCCCTGCTGGCTGTTTCTGGATTGCAGTTCCCAGGGGAGGCTGCCACCACCCAACAGGGTACTTCTATTCCTGCCCAAAAGGGAGGTGGGAAGTGGGGAGAGTCTGTACTTGATTGCTGGTTGCCAGTAGAAAAAGATACAAGGAGGAAGGCTCCCTGGCCTCAGTGGAAGGCTGGCCTGCAGAAGCTGTCCTTATGCAGGGCTGTGTCCCCTTTTGTTTGCCTCCATTCCTTCCCCCATAAATGCAAATCACCGCTGATAATATCACTTGACATTTGTAGAGCCCTTTGTCTATCATGAAGTTCTTCTCCCTTTTATTACTTGATCTTCACAACCGCCCTGGGAGGTCTCTGAAACACAGCCCAGACTTGCTTTTGCAATTTCCAAACAGATTTGAATGCTGTCAAGCTTATAGCAAATTGATGAGCAGTTTTTCCTTTGAGTTCATCGAAGGTCTGGCAGAGATGGATCTCTACTGAGACACGTAGTATTTTGGTACTACATAAAGACGATTGTTTGGACTGTCAGGTCACTGATTCTGGAGTGAAATGATGGAGGGGGGTTGTGCAGTCTCTGCCAAAGAGGGCCTGAAGAAACGAACAGACAAGCTCCTGTCCCAGACAGTGTGGACACCCACGAGAGGCCAGGACACTGAGATCTGAGCAGGGGGTAGACACCGCCACCCCGGGGCTGAGGGCGGCAAGAGAACCCATTGGAGTACAGGAAGAAAATATTAGAAATCCTTTCTAGGGACGCCTGGGTGGCTAGGTCAGTTGAGTGTCTGCCTTTGGCTTAGGTCATGATCTCGGGGTCCTGGGATCAAATCCCACATCAGGCTCTCCGCTCAGCAGGGAGTCTGCTTCTCTGTGCCCTCTCTCTCAAATAAATAAATAAAATCTTAAAAAAAGAGAAATCCTTTCTATATTCTTCCTCATCCTTACAAAAATAATATTTTTCTGTATGAATATAATGGGACAGTAATATACATGTATATGCTATACATCATTTTCAAATAAATATATATGCATGTATCAGGAGTCTGTGCCCCCAAACACCGATGGTGGTGCTGGGTGGAAGGTGTCAAGAGCACTCCTCTTGATCATTTTCCCAGCTCTGAAGTTCAGTGAGGCCTTTAATCCAAAGCGAGTCTGTCTCAATTCTCCCTAACCCCCCCTTTACTGGCATATCTTCAATAAACCGTAAAAGACATGAGCTCAATCAATCTCAAAAGCATTTTTGTAAATAACTTTTTTTAAAGATTTTATTTATTTATTTAAGAGAGACCAGGGGAAGGGGCAAAGGGAGAGGGAGAAGCAGACTCCCCACTGAGTGTGGAGTCCTCCAAGGGGCTGGACCCAGGACCCTGAAATCATGACCTGAACTGAAGGTGGACACTTAACTGACTGAGCCACCTAAGCACCCCTGTAAATAACTCTAAATATATATATATATATGTGTGTGTGTGTGTGTGTGTTTTTCTGTATATATACAGAAATCAGTGTGTGGCATTGCAGAGTCAGTAGCATATAGTGGTTAAGAATAGAAATTCTGGAATCAGATCTGGGCTCAAACCTCTAAATTTCAGTTTCCCCGACTACAAAATGAGAACACTAACTTCAAAGCATTGGAAGTTAATTGAGGATTAGATAACATAAGGGAAGTGCTTAACACCATGCCTAAAACATTGTAAACACTCAATACGTGGTAGTTATTAGTGCAAATAATAATTTTTTTTTTAATTAGCCGGATCTCAGGAGAAATAAGCATCCGACCTTCTGGGTCACTGTTGGAATCTGTCCAATGGAAGTACACAAAGAATCTGCTAAAGGAAGGGGCTTGGGTTTTTCATTTCTGTTTGTTTGCCTTATGAACTAAGGAAGGAGCTGCAGAAGGAAGAGCAAACAAAGTTGATGTCAAATGAATTGGAAAGTAGTTTGGAATTTGAATTGGCTTTTAAAACAAACATAGGTTAATGAAGCAGAAACACATATCTGCAACAATTAGAGTACAAGCTCTCTAATAAACGACAAAACATGTTCTTGGGCAGAAAGCATGAGTTCTGGCCTCAGCTTCACCACTCAGATCTTAAGATAAGTCCCTTGGCTCAGAGCTGAGCCGGTGAACACAAAAGCTCCCCACACAGGAAAGGTGGCCCTCCCTTCTCAGGACTGGGAAAACTTGGCTTATTGTGAACAATTTTATTTTTTTTTCTCTAAATGGCTAAGTTGTGAAGATCTTTTTTTTTAAAGAATTTATTTATTTATTTGATGGGGCGGGGGGGTTGAGGAGACCACAAGCAGGGGGAGCAGCAGACGGAGAGGGAGAAGCAGGCTCCCCGCTGAGCAAGGAGCCTGATGGATGCGGGGCTCGATCCCAGGACCCTGGGATCATGACCTGAGCCAAAGGCAGATGCTTAATATTTAACCAAGTGAGACACCCAGGTTCCCCCAAGTTGTGAAGATCTTGTAATACATCTTCGTTCCCTCCTCTCACTTAAGGAGCTCAGAGTGAAAACTCTCAGCTATCTCTAACAACGGACAGTACACAATCTTGTGGCATGCATAAGAGGGAAATGATGTCCGTAGAAGTGTTCTGTAAGCTCTAAATCATGAGCCAGACACAACCCCAGAATTGTGAGGTATATCAATGGGTGTGGAGAGAAGAGGTGGGGAGCATTTCAAGGAGTGCTGAGTGGGACTGAGGCCCTCATATTGTAACAGAAGCTTCTGGATCAGTACAATTGTTGCTAGAATGCAGCTCATATGACAAAGCACTTGGGAGCCAAGGATTTGGCAAGAACTATTATTATTAAATCAGAAAATTGTACTTCTCTTTGCTGTAATGAGAAATGGTTTTGCCTTAATACTGCTCACACTTGCTGCAATGGTGGCCAGAATTGGGTAAGGGTAGGCCAGGCATCAGAACTAGAACTTCTGCGAAGGGGCCAGCCCATCCACCCCTTACCCTGAGCAGGCCGTGCCTGACCACGCCACTGGGGTAAGGCCTTTATCCCCAGCGCTTGCTGTCTGCCTGTCCCTCCTTCTCAATGCCTTTCCTCCCTGATTCAGATTCGAATTTCAAGCAGGCTATTAAAAGCCAGTGGTGTAGGCAGGGTACCTTCGCTGTCTGGGACTCAGTTTCCCTCTATAAAATCAAGAACTGAATTAAATCAGGGTTTTTAACCTTTTTTGTGCCATAGATCTCTTTGGCATTCTAGTGCGTTCTTACAATAGTGCTTCTATTGTATAAAATAAAGTACATAGGATTGCAAAGAAAACCAATCATAATGAAACATGGTTAAAAAGCCAAATTTGGATATTATAATGTTTCTATGCTGATGTGTTAAACAAAATGATCTAGCAGTAGGTCTAATAACTACTCTAATTCAAAGCAGTGATGCACAGGATATTTTCAGATACCTGAAACAAGTGAAATGAGATTTGAGAATATCTATGATTCTGTTGGTGATAAAGTCACAGGTAATAATAATACTATTATAGTTTGTTACCTCATTCATAATCGTGGAAATGCTAAATTTCAGTGAGGAAAAATAAAGACACAATTTTTTCCCCATCCAAATTCACGGGTCCTCTGAACCTAGCTCAAGAGTCCATGGACCACAGGCTAGGGAACATCCAGACTAAAATCTCTGAAGTTGCTTCTGACTCTGACACAGTTGAATTCAAGAGAGTTATTTAAATGAATCAGGGGGAAATAGAATAGGGGACATTTAGGATAACGGGGTGAAATTTTACTATCTTATCAGCAGGCACTGTAGTATATCATAGGGCGGAAACTAGTTTTGTTTACAGAAGTGCTTTATTAGGTCTCCTGGAATAGACTATGAGACCCTTGTGACTTGTCGGGCAGGAAAAGGCATCAAAAATCAAGAACTGAACTGCTCTGCATAACACATGTCCAGGAACTGGGAGGTGAGGGCAGAGTGAACCTAGAGAACGTTGGCATGGAGGACACTGGAGTCTGAGGGACTAGACATGGAGAGACTCCTCAAGAAGATGGTGCCTGGTATCCAATTAGAGGTTGTTGTGTTACCAGGATAGA